TGCCTCCCCACAAGCGCTTCTTTACCGTCTTTTAGCTGGACGCCAGTATGGATGCTCAGGGAAGTGTAGGATCAGGTGCCCTCAAGAGCGGATCCACATCGCTCTTGAGGTACAGCTTCAAATGGTGGCCATGTACACGACGAATGTGGCCACCTGCATTTGCCAGCTCGACTTGGCCATCCGGTAGGATGCAAGCGAGTGAATCTCGGATGGCCAAGGTGGGGGCGGGACCAGCTCATAGTGGTCTCCGGTTTTCGTGCGAGCAGGCTTAGCTGCCTGCAGTTTCGGCCGCCACTCCTCCTTGACCTGTTCTTTGGATGATGGAGTGGTCCGGAGTGGCGGCGAAGATGTGAGAGGCGGGTCCTGCAAAACAGGCAGCACAGAAGGATACACGACAGACTCGTGCTCCTGGTGAGATACAGCATGCAGAGGTAACGAATCAGGTATAGTGTTAGCAACAGAAAATGTTATTCGCTCCTCGCCATCCCTCAGAACCAAGGTCCCATCATGCACATCTATGAGAGCCTTGGCGGTGGCCAGGAAAGGCCTTCCCAGTATAAGAGGCACTTCTGTGTCCTCACTGATGTCCAGGATAACAAAATCCACAGGATATGTGAATTTGCCAACCTTGACCAGAAGGTCTTCCACTATACCCCTAGGATGCACTACCGATCTGTCAGCTAATTGAAGGGTCATCCTAGTAGCACGGGGTTCACCTAGGCCTAGTTTCATGAACAATTTATATGGAATAACATTGATACTAGCACCTAAATCCGCCAAGGACTTCTCTACATGCAATTTACCGATAGAGCACGGGATAGTGAAACTACCTGGGTCCTTTTTCTTCTGCGGCAGCTTGTTCTGCAGAATAGCCGAGCACTCCTCGCTGAGCTCCACAGTGGCCAGCTCACTCAGCTTCTGCTTCTTTGAGAGAAGCTCTTTCAGAAACTTCGCATACTTTGGCATTTGCGATAGTGCCTCAAGAAAGGGCACTTGGACATTCAGCTTCTTGAGCATGGCCATGAAGTTCTCGAACTCTGTCTCCAGCCTGTCTTTGTGCAACCGAGTAGGGAAAGGGAGTTTAGGGACATACTCCTTCACTACTGGTTGCGGTTTAGGTGCAGGCACCTCAACCTCCGTCTCTACTTCGTGTTCCACCGCTGGAGATGCTACGACAGGGCTTTCTTTCGCCGGTTCCCGAGCAGGGGGATCAACAGTCAGCTTGCCACTCCTGGTCATGATGGCATTGGCAGTCTCGTGGGGGTCGCGAGGATGAGGGATGGTCTGCGCTGGTAGAGTACCAGGCGCCCTTTGAGCCACTGCTTGGGCCACGCTCCCCAGCTGGGTCTGGATATCCTGCAAAACAGCCCGTGTATTCCTCTGACCAGCTTCCAGAGCCAGGAGTTGACCCGAGGCCTTCTCCATGAACTGCTCAAAGGTGTTGAATTTCTGAGCACTAACACTGGCGAGAGAACCCACCAAGTCCTGCAGTTCAGCCATCTTATCGTTCTGCACTGGGGCAGCAGGGGCTGCACCTGGCTGCTGGAATTGCCCCTGTCTGGGCTGATATGGTGGCCTCTGGAAGCCCGGTGGTCCCTGTGGAGGTGGTGGTCTGGGATTTGGCCCAGCCCAGGAGAAGTTAGGATGCTGGCGCCACCCCTCATTGTACGTGTTGCTGTAGGGGTCATTGCGCCTGACATTGTTGATGAAGTTCACCTGCTCCTGGGGTGTGGTCGATTCCTTCATCGCCTGGCAGTCTTCCACCATATGATGGGTGCTCTCGCACCACTGGCAGAGCATCGCCTGCTGCTGTCCGGTCCCTGGAATCATCCCGGAACGATCGATAGCTGAGACCAGCTTCGATACTACCTGCACCAAATCAGATGACTGGGTGCCCACAACATGCACACCCCGGCCTGGTGCTCTCCTCGATCTCCTGGCAGTGCCCCAATCATAACCATTCTCCGCCATCTCTTCAAAGAGTTGATTCAGCTGTGGCGGGGTTTTGGTCAGCATGTTCCCGCCACAAACCGAATCGATCAGCTGCTTGTCCTCCGGGAAGAGGGCGTTATAGAAGGTGCCCACCTTGAATGCGTCGTTGAAACCATGATTGGGGCACCTGAGGAAGAGGCTGTTGTACCTCTCCCAAGCATCCCTGATGGTCTCATCCTCATCCTGAGCAAAATGTGTAATCTGCTTCTGGAGATCAGCTGTCTTGGATGGAGGATGGTAACGGGTGAGGAACTTGTCCGCCAGGTTGGCGAACGTGGTGATGGAGCCCGGAGGTCGAGTGTCTAGCCACTCCTTGGCCTGCCCCTCCAGAGTGAAAGGGAAGTACCGCAGCTGGATGGCATCTGCTGGGACCCCGTTGATCTTGATTCCATCGATGAGCTCGTGGAATCGCCTGAGATGTGATCTAGGGCACTCTCCCTCCTTACCACGGAACACTACTGAACCGCGCAGCATGGTGATCACGGAGGTGCTCACCTCAAAGTTGTTGGCTGGGACCTGAGGGTGTTGAATAGGTGACCTCATGTCCGCAGCCCTAGCGGCCCAGTAGGACCCCATGGTTTGCTCCTCGGGGATCACAGCATGGTTCTGCGGATCACCCATCTCTCCTTCTTCTTCTTCTTCTAACTGCAGCTGTGACAGCGCCTTCTCCGCAGCCAGTCGCGCCTTTAGAACCCGCTTGGAGTTCCTGCAGGTTCGTTCAAGCTCCTGGTCAAGTGGTAGTAGATCTCCCGACTGGCTACGGGTCATGCACTACCTGCACACAATCAGCAGAAGCAACCCATGAAGGCACACAGGTGGAAGAAAGAAAATGCAGAAAATAAAAAGCTAGAGTAACAAATTATCACGTTTCTCCAATAACCTAGAGGGTCCCCGGCAACGGCGCCAAAAACTTGACACGCCAAAACACAACACCAAACTGTGACCAAGTGTAATCGCAGTCCGGGAATGTAGTAACAGGCAAGTTATATTATCAACCCGGGGTCTAGATCTACTGCTTACTCCGTGATTCTCTATTATCTAGCAAACTAGTTCGAGAGATTGTTGTTTAACGCAAAAGCAGTAAGAAAGCAGGAAATGGTTCGGTTTTCAAAAGCAGTTAAGAGTCACTCGGGATTGAGTCCCCCTAGCCCCTTAGTTAGGTTCAATTGTAATTCCTTGGGTTGATTTACTGTTGATTAGACTGCGGAAGATCCGACAGTAGCTTGGAATCTCTTAAGCTGACCAAGCCCTCTCAGTATAACTACCCGGCAGACGACTAGTCTTCACCGGGATAGAAAGCTGAGGCTATGAACACAGAACTCCACTACTGGCGTCAAGAACACCAGTACAAAGCAGTAAATTGGCTAACTCTCGTATAGCCAATCTCCTACTATCGAATGAAGAAGCTCTAACAACCTAATCAGATCCTATCTATCTCAGGTTGAAGCAGAAATTGAGACAAGCTGATCAGACTCAAATCAATTCATGAAACATGCGTCATTCGATTAAAATCAAACAATAATATCATCCCAAGTCATTACAATCAAAACCCTAACATCAGGAACTAGGGTTCTTCATACCCAAGTGAGAGAAGGGTTCTACTCCATAGAGAGAGAAGAGAAAACAAGAATCGGATTAGTCATACTCATAACGATGAGGATAATCTGCTCCGGGACGATGATGTTCACTCCTATGGCGATCTCCAGGCTCGATTCGATGAAATCCAGCTCCAAGATAGCTTCTAGGATGAGTTCTTCGCACTTTCTCTCTCTAGGGCTCTGTTTTTGCTCTGAAAACACGATTCTCCCACTTTTGGCTCGGATTAGGCACTAAAACCGGTCTCCCCGAGTTGCACGGGCAGGTGCACGGCCGTGCACCACCCCAATCTGGCCGTGCAACATCAAACGCACCGTTTTGTTTATTAAGCTCAGCCTTCTTGCACGGCCAGGCGCACGGCCATGCAAGCCTGGATTGTGCCCGTGCAAGCTCTCGTCGTGAGGCGCACGGCCAAATGGCACTAGTGCACGGCCGTGCAGCCCCCTGGTCTGGCCGTGCACTCCTCCAAAAGCTCGCCCTTCGTCCGTTCTTCGTCCAATCGACCCCAGACTCGCTCCTAAGCCTTCATTCACGTACTAGGACCTGAAATAACACAAACAAGCACAACCTAGCGTGAAATCGGCCTAAAACACGAGAATCAACACCTCAAACGGTGTTAGTATGAGGGTAAAAACATGTGTAAATGACGGTCTATCAGTTATTCCCCACAATACTTTAGCCTTTTACTTCTGAAACAGTTTTCCATTCCATCAACAATTTGCAGATAAGGTGCAGTCTTATCTCTTAGGTTTCAAAATTTTGTTCCATATACATCCAAGCCACTGCTACACTCACTTCCAAAGGATTAAAAATTTGGTAAATAACAAATTTCTTAGTTGAGATAGTATGTGGATACCAAATTGTCATTCATAATCGATTGATTAACGTTTGACCAGATAAAAAGTTAATATTTTGATTATTATATTGCATTTTAAAAGCCTGTCTGTTAAATTATTTTAGTTTATTTATTTAAGTGGCTGTGTTTATCCTTCCCCATCCAATATCAATACAGTAATTGATATATATGTATGTATGCACCAATTTAGATATTGTGTACAGCTGGGAACAAAATCAAAACTTAAATAGTATTAGTTTGTGATTTTTTTTATCAAAGGAAGGCAGCGCCCCCTATCAATTTATTATAATATTCCTGGGCCCTGAAAGGCCCTTCCTGTCATACAAGATCAAGTGATTCAGTCGTCTATGATCGAACGGGATACAGTGAAGTCCAATATCAAGGGTATGCCCCAGATTGGCCAAAAAGTATGCACATTTATTTCCTTCCTTGCATATGTGTTGAATGTCGGCGTCCCATTGCTTCGAGAGCAGCGCTTGTGCTTTGCTCAGCACCCAGGCTTGAGCATGGTCCCTGTAGTCCTTTTCCTGGAGAAGTTTGACTGCAACCTGTGAGTCTAGTTGAAGCTGCACTTTGCGGTATCCCTCATCCCAAGCCGCTTGGAGCCCCAAAACAGCTCTACGGAGCTCAGTTGTAGTGATAGAACATATTCCCAAATTGTAGGCAAAAGCCCCCAAGCAGCGACCACCATGATCTCTAAGTAAGCCTCCGGCTGAAGCGCTACCTGAATTTTTCAGAACCGAACCATCACAATTGATAGCGATCCATTATCGTGGAGGGGGAGTCCATGCTATCTCAGCAGCCTGCCGCGATGGGGCGGGCGTGTGATGCATGGCCTGACCCTTTTCCATAGCACTTTTGATAATCACGAGTCATTCATTGATCCGTCTCAAGAATCCATCCTTCGTCGTTGTCTTACCCTCGTAAACACGCTCATTACGAGCATTCCAAAGCGCCCAGCAGGTGGCACCAAATCGTAGGGTAAAGTCGAGGTTGCTGAGGTTATCCTCTAGCCACTTTTTGCAATCGGTGGCGAAGAAAGTAGGCTGGTTTTTCGGCTCAATAATGGCGCACCAAACTTCTCTTGCTAGTTCACAATCCCTGAGAACATGTATCACTGATTCGACCTGATCTTCACATTTGCTGCATTTATCCGAGCTGGAGAGATGTCTACGTTGCCTTTCAAAGTTGGTGAGAAGCCTACCTTTAGCAGCAAGCCAGAGAAAGAAACGAATTTTGGCAGGCCCCTGCCATTTCCAAACAAGCTTCCAATTGCCCTGCTGTGGATTTGCCACATAACTGGTAGGGATGTCATAAGCTGTGCGGATCTTAAATCTTCCATCCGCTTCAGGTCCCCAGATTGGGAGATCCTCCCCTGCCTCAGGGCAGGGTGGTTGGACACCAGCAATTCTAAGCACCATCTCTTCCGGTAGGAAATTCCTAATCCTCTCCAAATCCTATTCCCCACTTGATTGAACGAAGCTTGCCACGCGCAGCTGCTAAACCGAGAGGTTGCAACAAAAGCAGAGCCAAGAGAGAGAATACCAGAAGGACTTAGGAGTTTAGCTTGCAACTCCGCAGACTGCAAACGAGACGCCAAAAAAGCATAATGCAAGACATCTCCAGCAGCATAAGCCCGAAGCCCGCCCAAATGAAAAGGGAAGGTGGCAGGCCGCCACTGCCAATCACCAAAACCGGGTCCAGAAGCAATGACAATGCGTTCTAAACTAGACCGAAGTGTTGTGTCAAAAGATAGCTCGGCCGGCCCAAAAATACGAGGGGAGCAAGTACGCAAAGCAAAGTAGAGTTTAGAAATACCAGTACAAGCCCGAAGCAAAAGCAATTCACAATGTGGGTCATCAATCCTAGCAACCAAGTCCATCTGCCCAATGGTCCTAGTAACTCTCTTCGCCACAAGCTCACTGCTAAAATCAGGACAAGAACTGACAGGACCACCCAGAACGGTGACACCGTGTGGAGGCCGAGCGATAGAGGCGGGGAAAACACCTAGAAGCCGACTCCTATGATGTAAAATATGATCGAACAAGACAAGAGTTTAACGTGGTTCTTCCTCACAGGGTGTGAGTGAAACGTCCCGACCTTTTTCAAAAATCAAACCACAACTCAAACCCAAAACCGGTTACTCCGGAGCAACCCAAATCACTTTTAAAATAACAAACTGACTTTATTTAATAATTTTAAATCAAAAAGCCCCAACACTTGGGCAAAATCTCGATCTCAAACACTTAAACCAACCTAACACAGAATCTTGAACTTTGAATCTCCAGTACATATACTCATAACCATAAACATAAAACGACTATCCACTTTAACTATACTCTTCAACCAGCTCCTTAACATCCCATCATCGGTACTTGCACGACCGCTTGCCTCCTCTTACTTCTTCTCGAGATCCACTCCCGCTAACCCATCCTCAACCTGGTGAGTGAGAAGGGGTCAGTCTCGTCGTTACTTCCTAAGGTCTTTGCCTAAGCCAACCCTTAATAAACACATTATTAGCGGGTTTTCTGCCTTAGACGAAAGTCGTTCTCACTTTCATCTCGTTAAGTACTTTATTTCCTTAATAGCTTATGGAACCTCTTAAACCCTTAACTTTAACTTATAGATGTCATTTACTTCTACCCTTAACTCATACACATAAATACTAGGGACCACCGCGTTACGTATCGCCGTCCGGTGTCCCTATCCTCAAGGCAATGGTACTGCGTTACGTATCGCCGTCCAGTCCATGCCCGGTCAACTACTGCGTTACGTATCGCCGTCCAGTAGTGACCCGACCATCTACCGCGTCCAGTAGTGGCCCAACCGCCCGGGGGTTCAATTACCAATAACCATGCACATTCATACACACACAAGCACAACGCGTGCCTCCACCTTAAGTAGGCGGTGGGATGCCTCACACACATAATCGCGCTTACTTGAAAATTAACTAAATAAAACCTGAAATGAAAAGCGTAAACTAAAAAGACCTCGACAGAGATTTTACCCCCTTTACACTCACCTTAGTAATCAGTCGATGAACCTTAACTATGGTGGATTGCACGTGATGTCAAGCTCCATGTGTGCATTGTTAACCCCAATCACTTGAGGACAATGGACTTGGTCCATTTAATTCCCTCCTTCAGCACATTCACCCCAAGTTCTCGCTAACCCCAATTACAAAGTACTTGGTCCATTTTAATTCCTTGCCTGAGTGCACTGTTGCTGCCAGCTCTTTTGTCTTGTTGATTTCCTCGGTGGAAGGGTGGTGATGCGAGGAGAAAAGGAAGGCTGCCCACGCTTCTTTCCCGGTCCAAATAATACCGCCACCGAATCCATATCTATCCCCACAAATTCCCAAGACCTTCCATCCCAAGAAGCCTGCCGTCGCGCCCCGTGATTCTTCTGGAATCTCATCCATAGCCAAAGCGAAAGATGGTGCTCGGTGAAGATAGCAATTCTGCCATTTAGCCCCTGCTGCTCTCCATTGATCAACTGCGCTACAAAGCCATGACGAGTTAGGCTATTGGATCGACAAAATAGCCCCGCTCTTTATTCTCTCGCTATCGTCTCCTAGATCGCACCCCGTACCTTTCTGCCTTCTATCTCGTGGGATTGAGCGGCTGCTTGGGGAGTTTGTTGGTTCATGTAGTATTTTAAAGGTCAAGGGGAAAGCCGGGTGGGAGTGAGAGTGAGAGACGGTGATCTTCCATTTTCTCTTTTTTTTTCAATAATAATTATTAATAATAATAGTTGTTAACATTATTAGTATCATTATTATTCTTATTAATCATCGGTTGCAACCCGTTGTATGAAACCGTTAATCCAACCATTCTTTTATTATGGTCGAACCTGAACCCAAAAATCGGGGTGTAACATTTCCTCCACCCTTATAAAAATTTCGTCCCCGAAATTTGCTCGGAAATCATCTTTCCGTAACACCATTCTTGTACTTCCTTGCCCCGAAAATTTATTCTTGGTACATCCACTTCAATGGCGCCCTTTGCTCGCCTCGCATAATACTATTGCACTTCTTATACCTCTTCTTGACCATAACCTGTATTCTCACCTAGCTTTGTAGCATTCTGAGTTGGTTTGCTTTGTTGGACCAACTCATTCATTAGTTTTTGTTGAACCTAAATCAAATTCGAGGTATCACATTTCCTCCCCCCTTAACAAAAATTTCGACCTCGAAATTTGTTCATTGATGAGAACCTAAGGTCTTGCTTGAGGTAATCCTTCTGCTACAAGGACTTATATCTTGTACAACCTGGAGCTATAAACCCTTGCCCCTAATTCGTGTGGTACTTGGTCGACTTATAACTCACCCATTTCTCATAAACCACTTACTCAGCTAGCTACTTGCTCAATGCAACTATGACACTCCCCCTTCATAAACGCCATTGATACTATAATGGTTATTGTTCTCAACGATTTGTCCTGGGTCTCTACTTAGGATTTCCCTAAGAAACATCAATGAGATAAATTCTTAGCTAGCCTTATTCAGAACATGACCTGTTGTGAATTCAGTACTTAACGCGTTCAGGCCTTGGTTTGTTCTCCATATGCCGACTGCTGACGCCTCTCCTCGAATCTCCTGGCATAGAATTTTGTGGTGAATGTTTTACGTACTGAGGGCTTGATCTGCTTAATGACCTACACATATGCTAGATCCTAAGTATCGCTTCTTCCCCCTTTCGAACCCTAAGGTTACTGATGGCTTATACTTTTCCTAATACGGTCGGGACCCCTTTAACGTACGCTTAACTCTAATCCCTGATAAGTCTCCAAGGTCTTTGTATCTCCTAGTTTGTACCTCTTACTTCCATGCCTCAATATGCCTTCTTAGCCTTTAATATTTCCCTGCATGATCATCTCTTTGTAACCTACCGCTAAGCTCTGAAGTTCTCGTACCACTGCATTTACCTTCTATACTCATTAGAAGTATCCCGTGCATCTACCCCTAACTTGCGCCCAAATTTATGATCCTTTCGAAACTTATGATGTTCCCTTTTTGACTTGCTTCTGTACTCCTTGGTGAATCACTTAATTCTTCCCCATTGTCGCTAGGATTTATACTTCTCACACGATCGACTATGTCATTCGTAGAACTGAGCTGAAGTTCCCCGAAACACCTATATGCTCTTCCTTGCCTATGTTCTTTTCCATATAACGTCATCACTCTGGACATATTTGGAAAACCACACTTCCATATTAAAGTTTATCACTGAGCTTCTCATCTCTCGATGGGTTTCCTATGGTCCAAAATGCCCTCTGCTGGCAGTCATCTTAATGTCGCCTTGCTGTCTTTCTTGTCCTTTCATATCTATCATTCTCCCTGAACTCGTCGACCGGTCGACTGCCACCTTTTTACTACCACTCTCGATATAGACTGGTAGTGTCCTCCTTAGTTCCTTATTTCCACGACTCCTTTATCAATACTTGGTACTAACTTTGCTAACTGAACTCGGTTTAGTAGCTCCTCATCATTCCTCTGAGTCGACATATCCCCCAGAAGCTTGTTCGAGGTAGGCTTGCCACATGTCACCCACGGTGTCTACTCCGGACGCTACTTGGCTCCGGCCTTAATCTCTTAGCTCAGGTTCACAGTGATTAAACAAAATGAGTGTGATTTAGTCCTTAACTAGCCATCTCCTCTAGACATCCCTGACTTACCCCTAACTAGTTGCCTTCTCCTGATGACATCCTACCCTTTGTACTCACTCAGAGTGAAGCACCTTGGATGAAGTCACTTAGTGTTTTCCTCTTTTTCTTGTGATGTCTTCCACACAAGACTCTTTGTGTGCGTCCTCTTGAGATTGGGTCTCTTACCCTCATTTCAACCACTTTATTTAGAGTTTACATGTGCATCCTCCATGCACTATCCGAAGTTATTAATGTATCTTCCTCACTATAGCTTTGAACTGGTTTCCTTAGACTGCGCCACTAGACTCCCTGGAATTACGTCAACTTTCTATTACCTTTCCGCTCTTTCTTGGTGTGTTACATAAGTCCACCTTATCGTATCCATCGAAAATTCCTCCTCAAAATTCCTATTTGCTTTCTCTGTTAGTGATTAGAACTTCCTTCAAACGTTCTACTTCCCTGTCTATCCTCGGTCGGTTTGATGACTTTACCTAGAAATTTTTTGAGATCACAAATTTTATCACACCTTGGTCCGACGATACTCCTCATATCCCTTAGATTTTTGACCTCTTGTGACTACTGTAACTTGTGGAATCCCTCAAATACCGTACCCTCTATCTTGTGATTATTGGTTACATAGTGCGCTGGCTCTTACCTCATTCTTTTCACCGTTTATCTCGATGGTTGATTCCTTCCTTTCAAGATCTTTCCGTTGATCTAGTTTCCCAGGTCCACGATTCCTCTTCTTAGGGATGTACTGTATCCATAGGGATTCCTCATTTGTTCTATGTACATGAACGGGCCTCCTCCTAGCCTTGACGCATTGATCCTTTGAAATTCTCCCAGGATCCCTATGACCTCCTTAATTTCTCCTTTGCTTTGCTTAAGCTCCCATAGCTTTGCTTAAAGTCTAAATTCCCACTGCTCCTGGGCATCGTAGGTCTAATTGTTATTCTTGTGAACTTAGTGAGCCCTCCTCGCGACCTTTCCTCCTAATGATGTCCGCCATTGGTCGTAACTCATTGCTTAATTCTGTCAAGGTGTTAGATACTTAGTGTATTTCTGAACCTTATAGCGATAACTCAAATCCCCGTAGGGTATGTGATGCTTTGGACTACCTCTGCTCGCTCCTGAAAAAGGGTTCCCTAAACTACCCTCTTAGGAATCCGCTCCTCTCCTTCCCGAGATGTATAACAGTTCTGCGGGGCCTCCTAGAGTTATTTCCTTATCATGATTAGAGTATACTGGAGATTCAAAAAAAAAAATCCTCAAAAGAAACCCTGACTCGTTTGGCCAAACCTTCAACCTGACACCCTTTTACTTTCCATTAAAAACCAAAAACCTTGAAAAACTCAGATCGTCACTCCAGTATTCCTTGAAGGCCAAGAAACAGAGGAGTGCCGGCTCTGATACCAAAATGAAACGTCCCGACCTTTTTCAAAAATCAAACCACAACTCAAACCCAAAACCGGTTACTCCGGAGCAACCCAAATCACTTTTAAAATAACAAACTGACTTTATTTAATAATTTTAAATCAAAAAGCCCCAACACTTGGGCAAAATCTCGATCTCAAACACTTAAACCAACCTAACACAGAATCTTGAACTTTGAATCTCCAGTACATATACTCATAACCATAAACATAAAACGACTATCCACTTTAACTATACTCTTCAACCAGCTCCTTAACATCCCATCATCGGTACTTGCACGACCGCTTGCCTCCTCTTACTTCTTCTCGAGATCCACTCCCGCTAACCCATCCTCAACCTGGTGAGTGAGAAGGGGTCAGTCTCGTCGTTACTTCCTAAGGTCTTTGCCTAAGCCAACCCTTAATAAACACATTATTAGCGGGTTTTCTGCCTTAGACGAAAGTCGTTCTCACTTTCATCTCGTTAAGTACTTTATTTCCTTAATAGCTTATGGAACCTCTTAAACCCTTAACTTTAACTTATAGATGTCATTTACTTCTACCCTTAACTCATACACATAAATACTAGGGACCACCGCGTTACGTATCGCCGTCCGGTGTCCCTATCCTCAAGGCAATGGTACTGCGTTACGTATCGCCGTCCAGTCCATGCCCGGTCAACTACTGCGTTACGTATCGCCGTCCAGTAGTGACCCGACCATCTACCGCGTCCAGTAGTGGCCCAACCGCCCGGGGGTTCAATTACCAATAACCATGCACATTCATACACACACAAGCACAACGCGTGCCTCCACCTTAAGTAGGCGGTGGGATGCCTCACACACATAATCGCGCTTACTTGAAAATTAACTAAATAAAACCTGAAATGAAAAGCGTAAACTAAAAAGACCTCGACAGAGATTTTACCCCCTTTACACTCACCTTAGTAATCAGTCGATGAACCTTAACTATGGTGGATTGCACGTGATGTCAAGCTCCATGTGTGCATTGTTAACCCCAATCACTTGAGGACAATGGACTTGGTCCATTTAATTCCCTCCTTCAGCACATTCACCCCAAGTTCTCGCTAACCCCAATTACAAAGTACTTGGTCCATTTTAATTCCTTGCCTGAGTGCACTGTTGCTGCCAGCTCTTTTGTCTTGTTGATTTCCTCGGTGGAAGGGTGGTGATGCGAGGAGAAAAGGAAGGCTGCCCACGCTTCTTTCCCGGTCCAAATAATACCGCCACCGAATCCATATCTATCCCCACAAATTCCCAAGACCTTCCATCCCAAGAAGCCTGCCGTCGCGCCCCGTGATTCTTCTGGAATCTCATCCATAGCCAAAGCGAAAGATGGTGCTCGGTGAAGATAGCAATTCTGCCATTTAGCCCCTGCTGCTCTCCATTGATCAACTGCGCTACAAAGCCATGACGAGTTAGGCTATTGGATCGACAAAATAGCCCCGCTCTTTATTCTCTCGCTATCGTCTCCTAGATCGCACCCCGTACCTTTCTGCCTTCTATCTCGTGGGATTGAGCGGCTGCTTGGGGAGTTTGTTGGTTCATGTAGTATTTTAAAGGTCAAGGGGAAAGCCGGGTGGGAGTGAGAGTGAGAGACGGTGATCTTCCATTTTCTCTTTTTTTTTCAATAATAATTATTAATAATAATAGTTGTTAACATTATTAGTATCATTATTATTCTTATTAATCATCGGTTGCAACCCGTTGTATGAAACCGTTAATCCAACCATTCTTTTATTATGGTCGAACCTGAACCCAAAAATCGGGGTGTAACAGTGAGGCTTACATCCACGGGAGAACGATTGGGTTTTATTAATCTGGTGATACACGGCTGCAAGCAGCCTTACATGTATTTATACCCTTTACATCATCATCATCTAGGGTTGAGAGAACCGAAAACTGGTTCCTTATAGAACAAGGAAACGACGTGGCTGCATGGGCTGACGTCGTGGGCTGCGGACTGTGGTCTCGGCCCAATACTCCCCCGCAAACTGGAGCGTGAAGATCACGAACGTTCAGTTTGGAGAGAAGGAAACGAAAGCGGTCACTACCCAGCCCTTTGGTAAACATGTCCGCAAGCTGAAGATCAGTGTGAATCTTAACTGGGGATATGTGACCAAGCTGGACCCGCTCCCGAACAAAATGACAATCCATCTCGACATGCTTGGTCCGTTCATGAAACACCGGGTTATTGGCAATGTGAAGTGCTGCCTGATTATCACAATGCAAGGTGGTCGGGGAAGACTGCGGAACACCGAGCTCCTGAAGTAACCAACGGAGCCAGATGACTTCACTAACAGTGCTGGCCATAGCTCGATACTCTGCCTCAGCTGATGATCGTGCTACCACCTTCTGCTTCTTGGTACGCCAGGAAATGGGAGCTCCGCCCAAGCTAACGAAATACCCTGTCGTAGAACGACGAGTACGCTGGCAACCGCCCCAGTCAGCATCACAATAGGCAGTGAGATGAAGGGAATTATTCTTCGGAAGGAAAAGACCCTGTCCAGGTGATGACTTCAAATAACGGAGGACGCGGAAAGCCGCATCGAGGTGCATCTGGCATGGAGCGTGAACAAACTGACTCAAAATGTTCACCGCATAAGTGATGTCTGGGCGAGTCACTGTCAAATAAAGCAAACGGCCAACAAGACGACGATAGGGAGAAGGGTCGGCCAGAAGATCCTCACTCGGACGCGTCAACTGGTGGTTTTGCTCCACCGGGAAAGAAGTGGGTCGTGAGCCCTCCAAACCTGCATCCTCCAAAATATCCAGTGCAAACTTACGTTGACTGAGGAAGAGTCCATCAGTAGTACGAGCAACTTCAATGCCCAAAAAATAACGTAGAATGCCCAGGTCTTTGATGCTGAAGCGTTGATCAAGAAATGCCTTCACTCGAGTAATGAAGGGTAAGTCGTTCCCAGCGAGAATGACGTCATCAACATAAATCAAAGCTGTGACGAATGTGCTCCCCCGCTGGTATATAAAGAGAGCCGCATCAGCAGGAGAAGCTCGAAACCCAAAGTCACAGAGGGCAGTGGTGAATTTTTGATACCACTGACGTGATGCTTGACGTAGGCCATAGAGTGATTTGTTGAGACGACATACACGAGTGTCACCTGGCTTGCGAAACCCAGGAGGTATCTCCATATAAATTTCTTCATCTAAGTCACCATGGAGAAACGCGTTGTTGACGTCTAGCTGATGGATGTGCCAGCCTTTACTAACGGCAACAGCGAGAAGACAACGAATGGTGACCAACTTGGCAACAGGCGCGAAAGTGTCATGAAAATCCAGACCTTCTATCTGGGTATACCCCTTGGCGACGAGGCGAGCCTTGAAGCGTTCAATGGTGCCATCCGGAAAATACTTGATCTTGTAAACCCACTTAGCTGCAATGGTGCGTTTGCCTGCAGGTAAATAGACAAGGGTCCAGGTACCATTTGCTTCGAGAGCTCGAACTTCCCGAGTCATGGCATCCCGCCAAACCTTCTCACGCACGGCCTCGTGGAAAAAACGGGGCTCATCATATCGTGTCTGGGCTGCAAGGAAGGCACGAAAAACGGGTTTAAATTTCGAGTAATCCACGTAGTTAGCAAGTGGATATAGAACAGAATTGATGGTACTTCCCTGAGAAGGTTTATCAGATGGGAAGGTGGTGACATAATTCTCCAGATGCTTTGGCCGAACTCTTGCTCGGTCACTTCGGCGCACTGGTGGTTGGTCTTCATGGCCTGCTGCATTGTTCGGCGCCATTGCTGTGGCCGGGGCTGGCTGGGACTCAGGTGGGCCAGAGGACGGCCCAGAGCATGGTGCTCCAGCGGACTCAAGTGGGCCAGAAGACGGCCCAGTGGGAGGCCCAGTGGAAATGGGCGACGGCTGGGGAGACTCAGCAGCCGGGCTGGGCGTGCTCGGCCCAAGAGGAGAAGCTGGCCCATCGGCGCCAGATACTGCGGATCCGGCTGGGAAAGTCTCACCGGAATCGTCAAAATCGTCGGCTGAGGTAATGTGTGGACGTGGGATCCAATTCAATTCGGTGCCTGCCTTGGCCTCCATGGGAAAGAAAGTCTCATGGAATTGAACATCGCGTGAGGTGATTAAGCGCCGAGTGGTCAGATCATAAATCCTGTAACCCTTTTGACTGGCTGCATATCCCAGAAATAAACCTGCTCGACCTCGCTCAGCAAACTTATCGAGGTGGGAATGAGTGTCTTTAAAGTAAACCAAACAGCCAAAAACACGCAGATGTTGGTAAACAGCCACCTTGCCAAAGAGAATCTCAAAGGGTGTCTTACCGGTGGCTTTGGTAGGAAGACGATTTATGAGGTAAACCGCGGTGAGGATACACTCTCCCCAAAACCGAACGGGTAGGCTAGCCTGAAAGCGCAGAGCTCGCGCTGTTTCGAGGATATGTCGATGTTTTCTCTCCACAACCCCATTTTGCTGCGGCGTGTCCGTACATGAGGTTTGGATGAGAATTCCATGTGTGTCGTAGTATGATTTAAGCCCTGCGGTCTGAAATTCATAGCCATTATCAGCCTGGATGCGCTTCACTGTTCTGCCAAACTGATTCCTGACCATGTTACAGAAAAATACTAGATATCTCTCAACTTCAGACTTATAACGCAATAGATAAACCCAAACACCACGAGAAAAATCATCAACTATCGTCAAGAAATAATGCGCTCCACTCAAGGAAGCAGTCTTATATCCTCCCCATATGTCAACATGAATAAGATCAAAAACAGATGTAGTCTTAATTGTGCTTGACGAAAAGGGTTCACGAGTCTGCTTGGCTCGTGAACAAGAGTGACAAGGACTAGAGCTCGAATGCAAAGTCAAAGATAAAAGCCGACTAATGTGTAAAAACTTGTCCGAAGAGGGATGCCCAAGACGAGCATGCCAAATAACGTCAGAAACTGAACTTCTTCGCTGTACCGCGCAAGCTTGTGTCCGACCCTGTCCAAACAAGCGCAAATAGTACAGTCCATCTCGCAATTCACCCTTCCCAATCAGCTTCTTCGAGCGTAAGTCCTTAATTACGCAAAAATTGTCAAGAAATATTAAGGCCACATGATTATCCTTCGTCAAACGACTCACCGAAACAAGATTACACCGAAACTCAGGAACGTGTAAGACACGGCCCAAGACGAAGTCAGGTCGCAGCTCAACTGACCCAATGTGCTTCACAGGAATGCTGTCACCATTAGGTATACGAACTGGTGGACCATTAATAGGAATTTCCTTGCTCGACAGTAAAGACTCATCCATGGTTATGTGCTCATTGCACCCAGAATCTAATAACCAATCAGAATCATAAGAGATTATACCTGCCATGTGCGCGGCCGGATCGTCAACCGTGCGGTTGGATGTCCCAAAGAATTGTTTGAGCTGCTCCAGTTGAGCAAGAGTAAACCCAGCAACGGGACTTTGTTCAGCTTCCACCTGAGATGCTTTGGGCTCTCGGTTGCGATTATTGTTGTGGGTTCTCGACTCCTTGCGAGGGCGCTGTGGTTTCTCTCCTTGCTGGTCACGCGGGGGATAGCCAATTAGTTGGAAGCAAGACTCACGCGTGTGTCCTGTCCGGCGGCAGTGAGTGCACCGGACCTTCTCCTTCTGCTCCCCCGTACCGCGATCAGCTCGATCCGCCTCTTCTTGCGCAACAAAAGCGGCTGCCTCTGGCTGGGCCTTGCGGTTTTGGGACACAGATTTTTGCTGCTCCTCATTGAGTACCATATGAAAAGCCTCGGTCAATGTAGGGATAGGTTTGGTCGCTAATATTTGAGTACGAACAGCGCCAAACACCCCATCCAATCCCATGAGAAAGTCGAACAGCCTGGCGCTATCTTGCTGCGCACGAACCCTCCGCGTAACGTCACAAGTGCACAGGCCACAAGTGCAATGCGGCAAGGGATCGATTGCTGAAGCTTCTTCCCAGAGTGATCGGAGATGAGTGTAGAAGGTCGACACAGTCTGCTTCTCTTGCTGGAGGAGACTGATCAGCCGGCGCAATTCGTACGCACGAGAAGCACTGCCTTGGCCGAATCGCTGCTGCAGATCAGTCCATATCTCGCTCGCATGTTCCGCAAAGCGTATGCTACTCCTGATCTCTTTATCCATGGAGGTTTTCAGCCAACCTTTCAGCATGGCGTCGCAACGAATCCAAGCACTCCTCTCCTGCGGATCCATGGGTTTTGCGATGCTACCATCAACGAACCCATATTTGTTCTTCGCAATGAGCGCGTCCTTCATGTCAAGGACCCATTCGCCGTAATTGGTCGCCGTGAGAAGATCACCGACCAGCATATTACCCGGACCATCCGAGTTTGACAATTGATAGACCGAAGGAAAGACATCTTCGGTTTTGACGGAGCCGCTGCCGATCTGAGTCTCTTTACTCATGATCAGAGGGACTTACAAGAGACAAAGCGCTGAAACTTAGGGCTCTGATACCATGTAAAATATGATCGAACAAGACAAGAGTTTAACGTGGTTCTTCCTCACAGGGTGTGAGGCTTACATCCACGGGAGAACGATTGGGTTTTATTAATCTGGTGATACACGGCTGCAAGCAGCCTTACATGTATTTATACCCTTTACATCATCATCATCTAGGGTTGAGAGAACCGAAAACTGGTTCCTTATAGAACAAGGAAACGACGTGGCTGCATGGGCTGACGTCGTGGGCTGCGGACTGTGGTCTCGGCCCAATATATGATCCTCAGTAGGCCGAAAAACCTCTGTCTAATAAATACTCTGGGACATGCACTTGGGATGCACATGGTGGAGTAATTTATCAAGAGGTTTGTAACCGGTTGGATGTTGAACCGACTACGTACCATCTTCAGTTTGTTGGTCGATCGCATAAGAGGGGCTTATTTTGTAGTCTCTAACGCTCTATTTTTTTCACCCACAGATCTTTATGGGTTCAACTTTTATTTCCTTGTCACGGTCTCAATAACTTGTAATGATATTTGTATCTAGCCAGATCTTTATCTTTCCTCTTACTTAGAGTGATCTTCGTGGGTTCGACTTTTACTTCCTGACTACGGTCTCAATGACTTGTAATGATATTTGTATCGGGATCTTATCTTTCCTCTGACTTGAGTAATCATTTGACAAACAAACTAAAGAAACATTTTGGAGGCAGAATGTGACTGTTTGTAGAGGTAAGTTCTGGACTAAAATACCTTGACGAAAATAAAGGGGAGAGCAACAAATGTTGAGTACCTGAATTTTTTTCCATGACTAGCTAGTACCGGACTAGATTCCCTATTCTACAAAATAGGAAGCTAAGTAGTAATAATAATAATAATAATAAAAAGTCTACCAACAACAAAACTTGTAGCTACTGAGTAATCATTAACTAACCGGAGGCTGCCAATCCATTTATTGAGTCCCACTGAAATTAATCGCTCTCGCTTAATTTAATTCTGGATCCGGATTCGCCGCCGGCGGCGGCGGCGGGGCCGGAAAGTAGCACTGCATGGAACATACGCAGTATCGACGATCACATTGTCCTCTGATAAGTATTCCAGGTTCCCCAAATTTGATGTTGCACGCGGTGTCGCATACCGAGTCCTTGCAGACGCCATATCGAAGATGCAAAAAAGACGCGCGGAATGAACCGAATTTGCAGTACTGCACTCCGTACTTCGTGCCGTCAGGGCGAGGGGATGCTGCGGCTTTGTTCCCTGTTTTTTTTTTTTTTTTTTTTTGCATTACAAAGATGGAAATCAAATTAAATCAGTCATCATTGATTAGTTGAGAAGGAGGAAAATTTCTGCCATATGTACATAGAAATGAGAATCACAACAACACGAGGCAGTAAAAAAAAATATAGACAATCACCGTGGAGGAGACAAAGCAGCAGCAGAAGTGCGAGGATAGTTGACGATGACGAGCTTTTCATCGAGGTTGATTTTCTTGCTAAATTCTTTGCTTAGTGTGTATACTTTTGTGATGTACAACTATAAAATATCGACTCCCAACACACTTATATACAGAGATTCGATAACATGCTTTATTAGTTTTTTTGTAAATCCTAACTTCTCCATGATTATAGCCTCGAAATGATGCTTCATAGATTCTTATCACAACTATATAATTATCGCCCTCCCGTAAGTCTCGGTAATTGAACTTCAATTATTTGACTGATACTGGCTTTGCTGAATACTCTGTTTGTTTTTTTTTTTTTTGTTTCCTTCTTTAATGTTCTTTTTTAATTATCAGTTATTCAAAATATTAATACATTGGATTCGAACGAGCTGGGCTGGGATGAACTCTAAAGTGGGCTCAGCCCAAATTTATGAAATGGCCCGTATAGTCCATCGATCAATGACGACAACATGACTACTACGCAATGTGTTGACGCTTCCATATTTTATGTGCAAAAAACGTGTTTTACGCATGGGGTGGATTATTGTCCTCTTTCCTCAGCCCTCAGGAGTCACGGGCGCTTGTCTTTGTGACGGGTCCATTACTTGCGTCGTCACGTTCATTTGGCCCGCTTCCGAGCAAAAGCCAATATTGCTCCCGACACTCTCTGTCTCTGCATTATTGTGCAATATTGTGGCTCGATCGATAACGAATATGTATTGGTTCCGCAAATGATTCTCGTTGTTAAATCATAATAATACGTACGTTTGTGCTATACATTAGTCAGCCTATTATGCTCTTTGAGTCATTCACCACCACCATAATTGAGTCAATACATATCACGATATTCGAATTTCTTCATATTTCAACAAATATTAAATCCAGTACTTACGGCCCTTTTATGAGAGTGTGTTTATAGAATTGGGGCGCCGTCCAATTGCATGTTGCACTTTCCATATGAGAAAAAGGTTCAAATAGTATGATCCTTCCGATTAGGGGCGAAGCCAGGATTTTGGGTTTGGGAAGGCCGAAAATGTTTCGTATATTATCGTAACTAGACAAAAAATCAAAATAATTATATAAGTATAACTATATAAATAAATTAATTATGTGAATTATCAAAATGTACGAGATGTTTTCTCAAATAATTAGATTGGTATTCTTGTTAAACTTATCGAGGAAATTTTTTCCATTAAAGCTATAAAATTGTAAAAAAACTCCAACCGAAAAACTTACCAATGGGATACGAAACCACTACAACTCCAGTAGGGTAAACGGCTTGTTTTAATACTTTTTAACACGCGGCCGTTATCATATTACTACATAATTCTCAGAATACTCGTACCTTCTTTTGTGATTTTCGAAATTCTGGCCCTATGTAGCTCCGCCCCTGCTTCCGATATCGCGATCTCAATTTATTTATAAAAAAATCTATGGTCATTATTTAATTTCATCACAACAACCAACTATGTATTTGGCTATATATATCAACTTGTTCCACCTAACATCAAGGGAAAGAAAACGTTTGTTCCACCTAAGCAGTGGGGTCGTTTTTTTAACCTGAGCTAGACATCATGATTCATGAGCAAATACCAATAATACAGACTACACATAAACAATACTACATACTACTACTAGTATTATTAAATCCATATGTAAAAAAAAAACGTCTCACTAGTGCCACGTTTCGCTGAATGAGCAATCAAAAAACGGCTTGCAACTCTACACTACATAATCTACATATACACATACGTATAACCGCCGAAATCAGCACTCAAAAAATCGAAAGAACAATCAAACCAGCCAAAACACCATGATGCAGTCTCTTCTCTACTTTCTCCTAGCTCTCCCTCTCCCTCTCCTCCTCCTCTTCCTTCTCCAAAACCACAAGAGAAGAGCTTCAAACGCTCTCCCTCCCGGCCCTCGAGGGCTTCCCTTCATCGGAAACCTCCTCCAGCTCGACCCCTCAGCTCCTCACCGCCACCTTTGGCAGCTCTCTCAAACCTACGGCCCACTAACCTCCCTCAAACTCGACCGGGCCCGTGTCGTCGTGGTTTCCACCGCCAAGATGGCCGAACAAGTCATGAAAACCCACGACCTCACGTTCTGCAGCAGGCCCACCACCGTCGGCCTCCAGAAGCTGTCCTACAACGGGCGCGACCTGGCGTTCGCGCCCTACGACGCTTGCTTTAGGGAGATGAAGAAGCTGTCCATGGTTCACCTCTTCAGCCTGAGCAGAGTCCAGAGTTTTCGCCCCGTAAGGGAGCACGAGGTTGCCAAGATGATCGAGAAGATATCCAGATCTTCGTTGGAGTCGAGACCTTTCAACTTGTCAGAGGCCATGATGTCGCTGACGAGTACGATCATTTGTCAGGTGGCGTTTGGGAAGAGGTATGAAGAAGGAGGAGTTGGAGGAGTTGAGAGGAGTAGGTTTCAAAGTTTGCTCAATGAGACTCAGGCCATGTTTACTAGCTTCTTTTTCTCCGACCATTTTCCTTGGATGGGGTTCGTGGATCGGCTCTCGGGTTTGATCGGTCGTCTCGAGAAGAATTTCGAGGAGTTTGATGCGTTTTATCAGGAGATCATTGATGAGCATCTTGATCCGAGTAGAGGAAAGCAGGAGCAGGACGATATTATGGATGTTTTGCTTCAGATTTGGAAGGGTGGATCGTCTAAAGTCCAACTCTCACTTGATCACATAAAAGCACTTCTCATGGTAAGTAGTCACCTTATCCAATATATATACTCTTCTTACTTTCATTTTCATTTGAAGGGGATAAAAGATAAAATTAAAAAAAAAATGAGTCTTTTTTTCATCTCTATTGGACCGGCCGGTAGGATAAGATCTTACTAGAATCAAGTTCCAAAAAATGGTCTAAAAAAATCATTGGTCTTGCGTGAGGAGAGAGGGAGATGGGTGGGAGAGAGAAGAAGAGAGAGGGGAGGGAGACTAGAGAAGGGGTGTGGGGGAGAGAGAGGAAAAACAAGAAAGAAATTTTTTATTTCAATCGTTAAAATTTTAAATTATTATCTTATTTGTATCTATGCTTAGATAATGTATAAAATAATTCAAATAGGTTGGACCTCGATCAGATTATTGAATCTCAAATCACCTAGTTGACCATCTTAACGACTTAAATTGGTTTGACAATCTTGCTTTTTTTCCTTGGCAGAACATATTCGTTGGAGGTACCGACACCAGTGCGGCAGCTGTGATTTGGTCCATGACATATCTAATGAAGAACCCTAAATCCATGGGAAAAGCTCAGAAAGAAGTCAGGCTTGCTATTGGAAAAAAAGGATTCGTGAACGAAGAAGACATTCAACAACTACCTTACCTCAAAGCCGTGGTAAAAGAGACACTTAGGCTGCAACCTTCAGCTCCATTGTTGATCCCACGAGAATCAACCCAAGATTGCATCTTAGGTGGGTACGAGATACCAGCCAAGACTGTAATCCACGTGAACGCATGGGCCATTGGAAGGGATCCTGAAGCTTGGGGAGAAAACCCAGAGGAGTTCAAGCCAGAGAGATTCTTCATGGGTAAGTCGATCGACGTGAAAGGTGCGGACTTTGAGCTGATACCATTCGGAGCTGGAAGAAGAATCTGTCCCGCCATGCATATGGCGCTAGCAAATGTAGAGCTCTCTCTGGCTAATCTGCTCTACGCTTTCGATTGGGGAATGCCGATTGGAATGACGAGCGACGATTTGGACATGGATGTGTTGCCGGGCCTCACGATGCACAAGAAGACTGCTCTGTGCCTGGTGGCCACAGAGTTTGTAAAATGAGTGAACTCACGAGCCATTTCTAGGCAATTTTACCAACACGGGAATGTGCCCAACAACAAACTAGGCGTTAAGTCGCTATCCTATATAATATATATCCAGCTATACTAGCTTGTTGTGTTCCATTATAAATTGTTTACAAGCTAACAGCAGAAATTGAAAATTTCTCATCCACCATTTCCCAGACCATGCCATCTGTTAGTCACACGGTGAGAAGGCAAACCACATGGAGCGACGTTGTTCAAGGAGTCAAGCCGACCGTTGTATTAAACGACACATTAGAACAGATCCCGCCAGAATAGTCCTTTTGTATTTTCTCTATTGCATTTCGTTTTCACCTTTCACTCTTCTGTAAAAGCACAACCAGCTAATCCTTGGCTTGTAGTGGCAAAACCCACATATATATTCATCTCAATGTAAGATCCAACCCAGGTTTTAGGATTTTCACTCAATACTGTCAATATGGTATCAGAGCCTCAACCCTAGTCGCCTCTCACATTTCTTTGCTATGGCTCAAGATCAAGCTGATCCCATGGCGGATCCCTACTTCTTGCACGCATCTGAACAACCTGGAGTCTAGTTGGTCGGAGAAAAGCTTACACCCACCAACTACAATGAAACAATGCCCTTGGAGCGAAGAACAAAATTGGCTTCATTGATGGCACCATCACCGCTCCAGAAACAAACACAAATCCTCTTCACTAGTCCTGGAACAAAAAACAACATTATGGTTCTCAGTTGGATTGAACTGGCTGTTGAACCTAATATTCGCAAGACACTGATGTCTCTCAAGCTCGCCTCTGAAGCTTGGCAAAGCCTGAAAGCTCGATATGGTCAAGGTGACATTGTTCCCGTTGCATAACTGATAGAGTCTATTTCTAGTCTCCAGCAAGGTAATCAAACCCTTAATGAGTACTATGTACATTTCCTTACCATTCAAGATGAGTTGGATGGCTGTCAACCCATAGAACCATGTGTTTGTACCAGAACCAGTCACCAAACATGCCATGCTCTTAAAGTAGTTCTTCACTACCGAGAGACCAACTATGTGATCCAATTCCTTAGAGGTTTGAATGATAACTACTCAACAGTAAGGTCTCAAGTTCTCTTTGGAGACACCTTACCCTCTATTGACAGAGTCTTTCAACATTTACTTCAACATGAAAGGCAATAATTTGGTTTTCAACAGAGTAGAGTTCTAACATCTACTTAGTCCTAGCTGCTCAAAGTTCACAAGGCAAACGCCCTTACTGCACATACTGCAAAAGCAATGGTCATACTGAGGATGTTTACTATCACAAACATGGCTGGCCTCCTGGAATGACTCCACGAAGTCCTAATCCCAACACTCAGAGTAAAGTTATGGAATGTACCTTCCTCAAAAGGAGGGACCATACTGAAGACAGATGCTTTCACAAGCATGGTTGACCCTCCTCTGGAAACTCCAAGGCCACCACCAATTCAACCCCAATGCGGAGTCAAGCTCCTTCCTTCATTAGCCCCACTCATGCTCCTCTCAGCTCTGCCAATCCTGCAAATCAAGAGGTGAGATTAACAAAGGGGATTACGACAGATTCATGGCTATGCTCAAAGAGAAAGATTCTCAGAAGTAAACTTCTCACACATCATTTGCTTTCCATTCCTATGCCGACTATTAATAGTGATAGAATGATCTATGTATAACTAAATGACACTCTTGATAGTTTAGGGTCGTATAGTAGTGAATGAGAGAGTCTAGTTGAGAGCATAAAATACACACTAGCTTATATTTCGGTATTGATCGGTATTTCGGTATATACCAATCACAATCCCGTAATCCCTAATACCGAATAAAAATTGAAATTCAATCCCAATCCCAATCCCAAAACATATATGTGTATTCACTATTAGAAGTGCTTTTTAATATGAGCGGTTGTGTAAAATGACTAAAAAGGACTTATAATATAAATAAAAATTCTCAACAATAAAGAGTATCAAAATGGAACTTGTTAGATTTCTTTTATATTAAATAATATGATTTTATAATTTATTTTATTTTTAAAATGATATAAATGAAGGAAAATTATATTTTCTGAAATAAAATTAAAATATGGTAAGGATAATCTTGTATTTTCAAAATAGCTTTTCGCAGAAGCTCCAAATCGGAGCTTCTGCTTTTATGTTATACAAAAGCGCTTTTCGGCTTTTCAAAAGCCGAGCTTTTAGAGGTGTTTGGCCCTACTTCAGCTTTTGAAGCCGAAAAGCACTTCTAAAAACCGCGCCAAACATAGACTTAGTCAAGTGACTAAGCCCTTCCCAGCTTTTGGATCTACATATATTAATCTAATGACTAAAAAGAAGAATGAATATTTAATTAATGAAAAAGTAATTATGGTATTATAAAAAAAAGTGATTATTTTATTGTTTTGTTTCCCTTCCCCGCTCATGGGTCATGCACAGGTCTCCCTTTTTTTAATAATAATTCTACTATTTCTTTATTAATCACTAATAGCTAATAAGTGATTTTTAAATCTCCCACTCATGTTTTTTTTTTGTTTCTTTTTTTATCAGCTTTTTTTATTTTAAAAATAAAAATTATAAAGTAACATCGAAAAATGTGAAATCCGTACCAGAAAAATATACAAAGTAAAAATACATCATGTACAAACATTATAATGAAAATGCAAAAATAAATGATTTACAAATCAGAATATAAAATTGTACAAATCATATCATAAATATGTACAAACTAGTATTATCATGTATACAAAATACAATTGCTTACAATACAAATCGATGTGAATTTCGTTACAAATTAATAATACAAACTATATAATAAAAGTATACAAAGACTTATTAAAAAGTATTAGAAGCACATGATATAAGTATACAAATCAAGTTACCATTTTGTACAAAGATTACTAAAATAAGAAAACATCACTACTAAATATTACAAAGTATACCGACCACATCACAAGAGTATACAAAGTAATATTACAAAGTATACAAGCCACATAATAAAGTATACAAATAATACTAACACTGTACACAAAGCATACCAACGGTACAAATTACAACTACTTACAATAAAAACCAATTATACAAAGCATACAAATCAGAAGTATACAAACATTACAAACATGGTTGACAAAAATGACAAACAAGGTGAACAAAAATAACAAAATTTACAAACATTACAAAAGAAACCAAAAAACATTACAAAATAATAAAGCTTACAAACATTACAAAATAAACCGACAAATAGTACAAACCATACTAATCATACAAAATACAACTACTTATAATACAAATCGATAAACTGAAATTACAAACCAATAAATACAAAGTGCACAAAACAAATAAACAAACATTACAAATTACAATATATACAAATCAGTCATATAAACATTACAAACATAATAGATAAACATTACAAGCATAATAAACAATACAAACCAAATTAATACAAACATAATAGATAAACATTACAAACATAATAGATAAACATTACAAGCATAATAAACAATACAAACCAAATTAATACAAAATTAAAAACCAGATTTACATGCATTACAAAATAGTCCGACAAACATAACAAACTGCCACTATCACTAGAAAATCCCCAATTATCGGAAATTTTTCGACACGTTTTTGGGTTGCAAACAGGGATTCTTGCCCGAATTTCTTCAAAATGTGGACTTGTAGCCTTCCGCATCATATTTTCACAGCAGAACAACTCCTTTATCATTTTACAGTCAAATATAACTTATATTTGAAACGAGTCTCCAAAATAATAACGACTATTTACTTAAAAATTAATTGAAAATTATTATTTAACAAAACAATTGGGAAGTATTTGTAAAAATTAATTGAAAAGCATTTGTTTTGTGAAGACTCGTAGAGAAGATTTAGTAGTGTGTTTATGAAAGAAAAAAAAAAGTGGAGTTACATGTGAATGGTAGTGAGAAAAAAAAAAGGAGGCATTCGTATGAAAATTACGCAATTGAGTCATTTAAATTTTTCATTCAAACCAAATAACTTGTTTTAAATTTTATAGACAAACAAATTATTGGATACCAAATGACTCATCCAAAATACTCAAGCAAACCACCCGTGAAGTTGATATCATTACAATCTCAAATACTACATTGACAAAATTTATTTATCCTAATAGTTCTGGAAAATTATTGATCTCAGTGTCTTCTCCGGTAGAATACCTAAACCCCAAACCAGACCGTCACTTGCGTTTTTCCGAACGAGCTGCTAGGCCACCGACCACCGTCCGCTTGTCCTAATCCGGAAGGAACATTAAATGGGAGATGGCTCTTAGGGATGTTCAAATGGTTACCATGGTAATTACCAAATCAAATAAGGTTATATTTCATTAACCATGGAATACAATATCATAACCAAACCGTCCAAACTAATACAACAAACCAAATTAATCAAACTTAATGTTAATCAGTTTGATTAATTGGTTAACCAGATTAACCAATATAAAATCACATTATCATTACAACACAGCAAACAAAAATTTACCCCCGGAAACGGGAAAAGTTAAACGTAACTGTTGACAGAAGCACAGCTAAAGTTGAAGATTGATTGCCGCTGACCATTGAGGAATTAGAAGTCTCGGAAATGGAAGGCTCAAGGAACACTTTCCCCATTTGGAGTCAACTGCTCTCTCTGGCTCTTTATATATTGTTGTGTTTTTCTCTGTGTAAAGCACTTAGAAAGATAGTGCTATAGGACTATTGGGAATTCTAAGGGACTCAGCATCAGACGTATAGGTTCTGACTGATGGAGGTGATAGACAGGTCTGGGATTAGATCTGGGTTCTTGATCCTACTATTGTAGTTTGCTTGCTTCTTATAGGTGAAAAAGAAATAAAAAGAAGTGTCTCAGAGCTTAGCAAGTGCTAACTCCGGGACGAGGATGTACCCGTAGATTGGGAAACCTCGTTAAAATCCTTCTGTTCTTTATCCTTTGTTTTGCTGCGTCTTTCCATTTGAATCTACTTTCCTTGCTCTGTTCTTGCCAAAGTCTCTGCTTCTAAGGATTTTGTCCAAGGAAGAAGAAGAGATCAGCTACACAGAGCCAAGGATCTCGTGCTGGGCTTACCTCTCCTTAAGCCCAGAGACGGAGCTAGCGCATGGATAGGGGGGGCCATGGCCCCCCTAAGATTATAAAAATAACTTGAATACAACTTGCATGACCAAAAGCTGGCTGTAGTGTGATTGTTAGAAATGTAGAATTGCAACCTTTAGGTATGGGGTTCGATCAATTGGTCAGCTTTATGGTTTTGTATATATATTCAATTTTTTGCAATTTTTTGTGTAGTGTTCAATCTATTGTTGGTTTTGTATATATATTCAATTTTTTGCAATTTCTTGTGTAGTGTTCAATCTATTGTTGTCTCACAAATAATAATGGGTTGTGTTTCATTTATAATTTATTATATTTTTGTTCCTATGTCTCCTTTTTCTTTATCTCTTATTAAATTACATAGTTATTTGATTTCACTCTTATTTAATAATGATAGTTATTTGCTCATAAAATTCTTGTTTTACAACTTGATAATAATATCTTTCTAACTTATTGTGTTATGTTATAATTCAGATGTGTTAATTATTCGTTCATACAATAAGTAGTTTTCTTGAGTTTGTGATTTTTCTTTTTTGTCTGTTTAGTGCTTTCTTTAGACAACAAGAATTTCTTTGCAAAAATTTTCTCATGGAATGTTTTCTTAATTTTTATCATTTAGCTCTTACAATAAAGATCGAATGATTTGTTTGAAAAAATGAGTGATGCAAGTCTTCATGTGATTTTCTTGAAGTCGAGACTAGTCCATCAACATAAAATTCGATAAGTTTATCTCACCACTTATCGTCAATATTGTTATTGAATATCATAAATTTCCTTTCACCATTCCACGCCACACCTCTTAATTATCGGCCCTCTAAATGAAATTCCTTGCTCCGTCCCTGCATAAGCCCAAACTTGTTTTTATTTTTCAACTCTCTTCAGAGTGGTCCTTTTATTCATATTTTTTTGGGCTTTGTTGTCACAAGCCCATTTCGTCCCAAAGAGAAGAAGAAGCCACGTCTATCTTAATCTGTCTTCTTCGCTCATTTCCTCTCATCCTCTTCGAGTTCCAGGGACTTTTCAAAAAAAAAAAAAAAGAGTTCCAGGGATTCGAAAACCAAATCCCTAACATTTCTGCTCTAGTTCCTAGTCTCAGTAACTACTGAATCCGTGACAGTTGGGGACGGATCATAGTGATGATGGACATATGATAAGGTGCAAAATGCCAATCCCGAGAAGAAAAGGCATGGGTTGGGAGGCTCTATTTTGGACAGATGAATCAACTACTGATCCCATGGTCGACAATAATGTATTGATTCAGAGGAAATCGGACGTCCAGGACTCAATGGCAGGCGCAGTGCAATGTAACTTGCACTATATATGGAAGAGATACATGTATATATGATTGCAAGGTTAACAGGGTGGATATGATACATTGTGCGTTCGAATTTGCACAATTTCAATATTAGTAGTTAATTAAAATATAATGCATTCTTAAACATTGTGAGTTAGGGGTCGTTTGGTAGTTGTGATTGTTAGAGTTTGTTTATTGAATACATGTATTGTGCACAATACAATGTTTGGAAGTGTCAAAGTGTACAACAATGCATGTATTGTTTTAGATAGGTCCCACCAACAATCACAAAAAATTATGCACTATACAACCTCAACTAAAAGTTGAGATTGTTGATTTTAGATTTTTGTCCAATTTTTCTTTCCATTTATATGCCTATTAGTTTTTGTCTTATACTAAAAGTTGAGGATAAATGTGACATTTCCCTATAAAATAACTTTATACAAGTCAATACATAAAGTAGAATCTCAACAACCAAATTAACAATGTATTATTAAAATGCATACATTGTACCAATACATGTATTTATTTTGTTGTGATTCATTACAATGCAACGATTTAACATTCGCAACTTCCAAACGACTCCTTAGTTTTCATTTGGAAGAGAGTGTGGTAGAGAGTGACATAATATCTATAACTAATTTCCTCCCAACATCTCGAGCTATTGAGAGTGAGACTAAATAATTTTTAATTTGCATCAAAAATATTTATATTACCATTCCAATAGAGTTGCGTCAAACTACTAATCTGTACATATTACTATGCTCAAGCATAAATTGATAAATTATTATTTAATATGACAACAGCCTCAAAAATTTTCGTTAATCGTTATCTCGAAATTCGAACCCAAAATATAACGGATGTTTTCACTCTCAAAATAAACACCATTTTAATGTTAACCTAAAAATTTTATCTTTCCACGCCTTACTGTAATCTTGCAGAAGATATCTCCTCTCCTTTATTATACATAAAACAACAAAAAAGAAAGCATTAGTACTATTTACTGTATCTACACTATATGACAAGTTAACAACACCTCCCCCTCCTATTTATAGTTCAAACTTCCGTATAGCAAACACACACCAAACTAGCTAAAACACACTACTACTGTACTACATCCATCATCACAAAAATGGCGGTGCCGCTCCTCCTCCCAGTCCTCCTCCTCCTCCCCATCCTCCTCGTCCTCCTCCGCAGCCTTCGCCGGAAATCCTCCGGCCTCCCGCCCCCGCCGGGGCCCAAGGGCCTTCCCCTCATCGGCAACATGCACCAGCTCGACCACTCTAACATCGGCAAGTACCTCTGGAACCTCTCCAAGCAGTACGGCCCCATCATGTCCCTCCGCATCGGCCTCAAGCCCCTCCTCGTCGTCTCCTCCGCCAAGACCGCCGAGCTCGTCCTCAGGTCCCAGGACCTCGACTTCTGCGGCCGCGCGTCGCAGGCCGGCCAGCAGAAGCTCTCCTACAACGGCCTGGACCTCGCCTTCGCCCCCTACACCGCCTACTGGCGCGAGATGCGCAAGATCTGCGTCGTCTACCTCTTCAACTCCAACCGCGTCAACAGCTTCCGCCACATCCGCGAGGACGAGGTCTCCCAGATGATCGACACCATCGCCGCGTCCGCCGCGACGGGCGCCCCCTTCGACCTGACGGCCGCCATGATGGGCCTTACTAGCACCATCATTTGTAGGTAATTAACAATCTACCGTACGACAGACACACAAAAATCAAGGGTTTGATCTGGTGATAATATCTCGTCATTATAATAAATAAAAATAATATTCCTTACTACTATAATTTGCAGGATTGCATTTGGGAAGAAGCTGGAGGGGAAGGAGAAGAGAATGTTTCACAAGTTGTTCAACGAGACGCAGTTTGTGTTCGGGAGCTTCTTCCTGTCCGACTACCTCCCCTACATGGGCTGGGCCGACAAGCTCACGGGCTTGACGGCCCGACTCGACAAGAACTTCAGAGAGTTCGATACGTTCTATCAGGAAATCATCGAGCAACATCTCGACCCGAACCGAACCGCTCCTCAGAACGAGAACATCCTGGACGTCCTGCTCGGACTTTACAAGGACCGCTCCTTCAAGGTCAAACTCGAATTCGAGCACATTAAAGCCGTCCTCATGGTAAATACAACAATCACTAATATTTCAATTGATTTAGGGTGGCTGCAGTTTGTTTTTTTTGGATAATCCGCAAACCACACCAGAGTTCACGTACATTGTGTTGAGTTGGGTGTGGTTAGTAAAATAATGATTTTCGACGTTGGCAGAACGTGTTTGTGGGAGGAACCGACACGAGCGCCGCGACGGTGATATGGGCGATGAGCTTCCTGATGAGGAACCCGGAAGCGATGGCGAAAGCGCAGCGAGAAATCCGCGACCACGTCAGAGGCAAAGGCGACGGTTCAGATTTCGTCACGGAAGACGACATCCCGCGCCTGCCGTACCTAAACGCCGTCATCAAGGAGACGTTTCGGGTCCAGCCGGCGCTGCCGGTCCTGGTCCCGAGGGAGACGAACCACGCCTGCAGCCTCGGCGGGTACGAGATCGCGGCCGGGACCATCGTCTACGTCAACGCGTGGGCGGTGGGCCGGGACCCGGAAGTGTGGGAGGACCCGCTCGCGTTCCGGCCCGAGCGGTTCGAAGGGAGGAAGATCGACGTCAAGGGGCTGGACTACGAGCTGATTCCGTTCGGTGCTGGGAGGAGGATCTGCCCCGGGATTCACCTGGGGATGGCGGCGGTGGAGACGGCGCTGGCGAATCTGCTGTACCGGTTCGATTGGAAGACGCCGGCCGGGATGAAGCCCGAGGATATTAATGTGGATCGGGTTTTGCCCGGGATTGTGGTGGCGAAGGCCGACCCGCTTTGCCTCGTGCCCACGGACTACCTTGGGGGAAAGAAGAAGTGAGAGATTGTCGTTCTCGTTAAAAAATTAGTTCGTCCATCTCTTGATTATGTGTAACAAAAGCGCTTTAGTTCAATTTCTGTCTGTTGATTGTTGAACAGTTTGGAATAAGCGGGAATGTGATTGTATTCTACAAGCAGTTATTTATACATTATATATTATCTGTAATAATTAGTATCGGTGTTTTACTTTTTATCGTTCGATTATGTATGGTATGGTGAAAATGAATGTAAATTTTTTTGTTAAAGAATATTTAACTTATTTTCATTTCTTTGATGAATTTAATCAATGACAAAATTGGCTCGACGATGTCATATAGAAACTAAGGGTTCTTTTGCGAGTCATGCATAATTAGTCTTTCATGTTATATTGATTCAAATCATGATAGAACAGGTCGAGAACAAGGCGGGACGGAGCTGGGTAAATCAGTAGCAATACTCATGTCCCTCCCCATGTTATTGCGGGTGGTGGTAATACCCGCCGCAAACAGGTCGAGGTAGGTCAGGCTATTTGGATCCATGGATCAATCCACCAATTCATATGATCTAATCCATGAATCTACTAATCCATTTGATCCATGGATCTACCCATTCAAATCCATTAGTCCTTGAAACAAATACTGTCTAAAGGATATGTGTTTATTATTTATGTTATGTTTTCTCATATAAACTTTTTTTTGTTACGTCAATTTTATTTTCAACCATAAAACAACAAAATCACTGCAGTATTAAATACGCATGTCATGAATGATTATTTACGAGTGTTATGACCATTAAGTAATACGTGTTCAACCATTGATAAAAGATTATCATACTTTCAAAAATTGAGAAATTATTCCAATATCACCTTCATGTCATATAAAATTAAGAATTTCAATTAATTTAAATTCTTTGAAATACACAACATATATACGTTATATTCATATAGCATTCTGACCAATAGTCGGATACCAGTTGATATGCTGTGAAATGCTTATTAAAAAAAAAAACTTGTAAGATAGCAGAGCTGGGGCACACTAAATAATCGGGGCCAAGTACGGAAATGTTGGTCGGGCTTCTTTGGCTCGGCCAGGTTCGTAAAGTACACCAATGTAACCGATATGAAATTAAACATCAATGAGGTGTGATAGTATTTTTTTTTTATATAAGGGTGATATAGGTTTTTTGTTTGTAATTAAGGGGTCGTTTGGAGGTTGAGATTTGAAGTGAGGTATTTAGCAAATACATGTAATGATAAGATTAAGTCGTTTTTTTGGTTCACTTTGAGTTAGAATGCATGCATTACCTTTTTGTTGGGCCCACCTACAATCACTCAAAATGAATGATTATAAATCTCTACTAAAAGGTGAGATTGTTAATGAGGGATTGTCTACCCTACTTTTTGTTTCATCATTGCTCTTCCAAACAAAGTATTTTCCTAATACATGCATTGAATCAATACATCAAATGATAATACACTAATTGACCTAATACATCAATTTGAAGAATCACAATTTCCAAACGACCCCTAAGATACTACTTCAGGGGATTTGAATCTGGGACCTCCAGGTTCTAGGCGAGTGGTATTACCACTTGACCAAGCCCTTGTTCGTATGAGGTGTGATAGTATTATTCAGGTTCACAATTTAATTGGTACGTGCTATAAAAAAAAATCTATTTTCCTATATGAGATTTTACATTTAACGAGAGTCCGGTTAAATTTAAACTTTGTATGGGGAGGAAGATCGATTAAGATTCTACATTCAATACTTTGATAAAGCATATCAGTTTAGCTATATGTAGACAGAAAGGGTCTCGCTAGGGTTGTGATTTGGCTTTATTATTCTTTTCATCGAGTACAAGTTTACTAATACTAATACGATATAAAGCTAGATGAATAAAAAGTAGGAATTACAATTTTGTCTAAATGCATAGCATGGGTATTTAGTTATCCAAACTCACGAGAATTACAAATTTTGATTGTACCAATAAATTGTTGGTTACGTCAATAAATTTCACTATCACATATATTACAAATTAATAACAAAGGCATTTTACCCTACACGAATTCAGTCTAATTCTGAACGAGAGCAACCAGGCAACTCAAATCATAAGATAAGTCGATCGAGTGACCCGTGCCCAATGTCATATCCCTTTCAAATGGTTGATTTAATTTGGAGGCCTTATAAATTTTGTGGAAGGCACCGGCAAGTGCCAAATGACTAATTCCCTTTCTGATTGATTGGCTACGAATTCCCACAAAAATTGATGGACGTGGTCGTAGTTCACGTCTCTTTTTTTTTTTTTTTCAAAGTTATTCCGAATAGGAAATACAGCAGATACGACATAATAAAAGGACCTTTGCAGGTCAAATTACAAGGAATAATTGAAGAAGAGCCGATGGCCGACCAACCAACGATCCAACAATGAGAGGGCTTGTTTCGCCATGATATGGGCAGTCCTATTGAACTTACGCAAAGTGAAATAGAATGACGCACGTTGCACGGAGACAAGGAGAACCTGAATCTCTGAAAGAAGGCTACCACCCAAAACATAACCTAAATCCTTACGATTAATCATTTGAATGACCACCTGCGCGTCACCACAAAATGAGACATTATTAGAGATCGATTTAGAAAGACATCACCGGAAGGCATTCCGGAGGGCCTTGAGCTCAATGATGAATGCATCATCCAGATGATCGTAAACCTTCCCAAATGCAAAATGAACAGCATTGGCCCTGTAAAACCAACGAAGCCAACTCCTCCCCCCAACAGAGCCTTTCGTAGCTCCATCAAAGTGGACTAAGAAAAGAACCCGAGGAGTGTGACTGCGAATCCCAGGAGGAACGGAAAGATTAGCACGACTTTCATATGAGGTACGGTGGCTTAAGTCACTCTTTCTCTTCTTTTGTATTGCTCATACGGAACAAGTTCAAGTATTTTGTGAAAAAATCAACCTACCATACATATAGTAGAAAATTCACTCCAAGAACGAACAAAATATATTGAGCTGGACTGTCATGTTGTTCATGAGAGACTGAAATTAAAACTCTTCAAGCTGTCTCATAATAGCAAGCCAGAGTTGAAAAAAGAGGAAGATGACAAAGACATGTCTAAGCTTTCTTTCACTTAAAGCCAGTCTAACCAGTATCTCGAACTGGACACATTAGCTAGGTTTGGAACGATAATACCTAGGGGTGTTAGTCGGTGCGGTTTCGGTTTAACCGCACCGAAATATCGGTTAACCGCAACCAAAATTGTCCCAAGATCACTAACCGAAACCGAAACCGACAGAGTCTTCGGTTAACCGAAAACCGCAAACATCGGTTTCGGTTTTTCCTTGCGGTTAACCGAAACCGCAGGTTCTGGTTCACTTTCTCGGTTTTCGTTCAGAAACCGACCACCCAAAACCGAATTTCAACCACCTTTTTTAATGATTCACCCTCAATTTTGAGTGACCAGCTTTTGTTTTAGCCTCTATAATCACACATCATAAAGTCATCTAAATCAATTGAACATAAAGCCTAAAGCAACCACACAATTCAACCACAACTCCGCAACATAAAGTCTACATGCCCACAATTCAACCACAAGTCACAATCACAACAAGACACAAATAACAAGTTCATTATCTCCAAATCATCAACCTAAATGATCCAAGGATCTCGCTCCAACTCATCTAGCTCATAGTCATCATTTACTCTAAGATCTTCATCTAGCCCATAGTCATCAACCTAAGGTTCACTCTATCAAGTGCAAAGGGGATTTAGAGAGGAGTGACTTTCGAGTTCTAACTCTTAAAAACATTTGAGACTCTTGATGGAGGGTTGTTTGCAATAGGTGAGAATTGGGATGTTTGGAATTGCAACTTTGATTGGTTTTGAATCTTACAACTTTTTCCCTCAACCAAAGTAAAAAACCATGTAGTCACACTAGTAGGCGGTTATCGGTTTTCTTATCGGTTAACCGCTAACCGATTAATCGGTTAGCGGTTAACCACTAACCGAAACCGAAATCAATAAGAAAGTATCGGTTATCGGTTAACCACTAACCGACTTTATCGGTTCGGTTATCGGTTAAAACCGATAACCGACTAACCGTTTATCACCCCTAATAATACCTAATACACAGTTACACACCGCAGGACCAAACACTGTCTCGTTGCAGTACGCATTGTAATTAGTTGCAAAGTTTGTCCTGGTGTGCCACTTGGCACTGTGTGATTGGTTTAGTTTAATTATTTGCTTATTTTGAACGATGAACTATATATATATAATGTTCAGTTAATTTATGTATATGTGAGAAAGGAAGTCCTGGAAAAGAGATACTGTCTACAGGAAGTGACCAATATTTATCATGATAACCAGCAATTCATAGCCACAAACAGATTTACAGTACAGTTTTATCATGACAATTGACAACCCATTTCTCTCGAAAGTGTCTTATGGCCATAGAAAATTATATTTTCCAGACGACAATTATTCAGCTTGGGATGAGCGAAATGGACAAAAAGGATTTTGCATTATTGAAGGGAAGATTGGCAAATTCCCACCAACCTTGTCTGGCCTCACCTGCCTGCCTTTAGCACGTTTTAAACCTCAACTTCTTCATAGTGGCAAGTGCTACCTGTTTTTTGTTTTGTACTTTGATTCGTATGATATTTTGTTGCCGGGTTAAAGTTGAATTGTTCTTTTATAATCCATGATTTTCTCTTGTGTTTTTTGCCGATCTGATAATTTTTAAGGTGTTACAATTTACTGTCTTTGAAAAAATCATTAACCGTTTTTCTCACAATTTTGTGTCCTATAATAAGCATATTGTCAGGAATAACACTTTAAACACGTCTCATGCTGGTCAGTAAAATTTCGTACTACCTAATGTAACAAAGTCTCACGAGCATTTTTTTATTTCATATGCATTCTTTTTTATTATATCGGAGAAATTTGCAGTTGGTGTGAACTCTCGGTGGAATTGGAACAACAAGTCCGTTTACATTTAATCTCAATATGGAAAAAAATTTAGAACTTCAATCAACCGCATCGAGTGAGAGAATTAGTTTAGCTCGTTCTAGTTCGTAACTTTGTATGAACCTGTTGAGCTAAAGTCGATATCTAGAGGATCTCGTCACTTTCTTCACAAGATCGAGTTAGCCCGGTTTTCTTGAAATGAAACAAGACAATTTTAGAAAATTTAGCGTGGTATTGTACTTCAAATATTAATTTTTGGTCTTGTAAAGGACAGATTGTTTCTCAAAGTACACACATTGTTATAAAAAAAAATTAAAATACAATAGTTTTCTAAGAAATTCCCAAACTACCCATGTTTTGAGACATATAGCTTTGGTCACAAATCGCTTAAGACCTAAGCAATCTGGGATAGATAGCTTCAGATACATACGGTAAAAAATCAACAACAGTAACTTTGTATTCGATCATCTGTTCAACGTGAATTTTTTTATTTTGCAAAAAAAAAAAGATTTTCACAACTACAAACAATTGAATGTGGTTTGGTCAACTTTCATCTCCAAATAAGGTCATTTGTTACCTCAAATAAGCCATTTTATGATTTCACATAAGTTCGAATGGTTAAGTTTTAACTTTATGCTCTCGCATTCAATCATCACAAATTTTTTATATTGCATAGATTTTCAGGGACTATTGTATTTTGATAAATTTTTTTAAAATTAAAACAAATGTCTAATATGAGGAAACAAATGACATTTTTTGGAGATAAAAGTTGAACATACCATTTTTTATTGTTTGCAGTTGCGAAGATCTCGAAAAATTATACAAAAAAATTCAGGTCAGTTAAAAAAGCACAAAGTTAAAGTCGTTTGATTTTTCCATAAATAACATACTGATCGTTGAGTTCTGAAATGATTTGTCACAAATTACTGAAGTTTCAAGCGATCTGTGCCAGAATGTTTAGATCTCAAAATACCTGTGTATGATCTATCACAGATTTTTAATATCTCAATCTATCAATATATAAATTACTTTAGTCTGAAATAATCTTCTCCAACATGTGTAATTTGAGAAAAAGTTAAAACACTATTGTATTGATTTTTTAGAACTGTTTACAGCAAGATGTGTACTTTGGTGAAAATCCTTAAAAGGGCATCACAAAAAGACTGTCAGACTGATGGACAGTACTGGTGGACGACTAAGTCACTGGCCCTTAGTGCATGGCAGAGTTGGGCTGACATTACCCAAACTTCTGGGAAGAAAGAATCTTTGGGCTTCGCCTATCGTATACTAGTTAAGAGTAAGGGGGTAACGGCCCCTTTTTTCAAGTTTTGGTTCCGTTAATTTAGTCCAAGTTTCCATCATTCCATGTGAGCCCACTTCTAGACTGAAGTTTCTCTGGACTTCCAAAAAAAATTGGATAATTGTAAAACCATTTTTTTTTAGGCAAAATACACTTATAGTCAAAAAAACTCGGGTTGTGACAATAATAGCCACATTTTGAAAAAATCCCAAATGTAGCCACCTTTTCAAAACTATGTTGTCAACTTTAGCCATTTTCGTAAAAAAATGTTAACGTCGTTAGACGCGCCGCCAGTAGCGTACTTGTGTCACCTACGTGGCCTCCACCTGGACGACATGTCATCGCCAAGTAGACTCACCTTGCCCACATCAGCGGTGACGTGGACTTGATCATTACCACTTCGAGAAATAAAAAAAATTACCTTATTTACTCTTTCATCTTCGCCGTCTCTCTTCGTCCAAATCCCCATTCTATTCTGCATTTAGGTTTCCACCCGAAACCCCAGCGCCGTCGCACTCCCAAACTCCAACCCCCCCTCCCTCCCCAGCGCCGTCGCACTCCCAATCCCAAACCCCAACCCCCCCTCCCTCCCCCGCGTCGTCCCCTCGTCCTGAAACCCCCGCCACCGTCTCGTTCCCCCTCCCTCCCCCACGTCGTCGCCTCGTCCTGAAACCCCCGCCACCGTCTCGTTCCCCCCCCCCCCCCTCCAAACCACTCAATCTTTCGAGTCCTCTTGTTGCCGACGCCTCTCTCAGCTGAATCATGTCACAGAGGACTCCTCGGAGGGATGGGGTTAGCTATTGCGCCGACTCGGGTTCGGCAAGCACCAATTCAGTTCTCTGCAAGCACAATGTACCAGCTGTGAAAAAAATTTCGGGGACTGAGGGGAACCCAGGAAGGCAATTTTATGGTTGTTCTTATTGGATGGTGAGTTGTGTCTGATTTCGATTGCACATGGATTGTTTTTATATCGTTGTTAGCTAAGTGTTGGAGTTGTGGCAGGAACCAAGAAAAAATCGCAAATTTTTTAGGTGGGTGGATGCTAATGAGGGTGAATCAGAGGCACGAATTAATGAGATGGACAGTTCGATGCTTAGGTTGGAGGAGAGTTTACGGCTGGCCGAGGGCAAGGCAGAGAGGAGGAAGAGGGAAAGAAACGTGATGGCAAAAGAGTTGCGAAACATGATACAAGTTCATGAAGTTAGATTAGCTGAAGCTCGTAGTGTGCATGATGAAATTCGTGTAATGAAATATATGTTGAGTGTTCTTTTGTTTTTGAATGCCTTCTTCGTTGTCATTCTGTGGAGGCAAGGTGGTAGTATTTGATGTATGGACTTGTGAAATATATGCTTAATGTTGGTTTAATGTTTAATGCGATGTTGGTTTAATGTTGAAAGTGATGTTCTTCTACCCAAGCACCTGTTTCAAAACATAACAAACATCCACAACTAACCAAACTCTATGAAGCCTTGTTTCATTACATAACAGCATAATAAACATGTATGTTTCACAATCAAACATACATTGTTCAGAGTAGTTTCAACACATAACAACATAATAGATGGACATGTTTCCAATACA